AAGAGAAACCGTCGGACTGTAGAGGAGTCAACTGCAAGGTTTCTTCCCCATGGGTAAACTTAACCCCAAACCAGTACCCGCCCTTTTAACCCTGGTTTGATTACTACCCCACCCCCTTGCCTCTCGCCTTTTTAACCCAAAATAACGGCATATTCTCGCCCAATCTCTCGCGCTCTCCTCCTTTCCCAGTTGAGTTTTTCCGGAGAAATATTTCTCTGCCAAATTGCGTCCGTGCATTTTCTCCAACTCTTGATACGAAGATCTCCCAAGATCCCAACTGGTTGTCTTATCCCTTCTGATTCCCGGATTCCTTCCATTCCATTCTTTTTTCAAGTTCAATTTTTCTGTTTGTATTTGGTGTGTCCGTCCTGATGGTAGTGAAGATGATGAGGTGGCGGCCATGGCCGCCCCTTCTTTACCGAAAGTATGAGGTGAGACTCATCGTGAGGAGGTTGGAGGGTTGCGATCTGCTGCGGGAGAGTGCGGAGAAGGGGACTACTGAAACTAGATTGACTGTCGAAATTAAGTGGAAGGGTCCTAAGTTAACCTTGGGCTCGTTGCGGCGCGCTTTGGTCAGAAACTTCACGAGGGAGGTGGACGGCGGTGCCCACAACGGCGTCTTTGACTGGGACGAGGAGTTTCAGAGTCTGTGCACTCTCTCGGCCTACAAGGACAATGCCTTCCATCCTTGGGAGATCGCTTTCACCGTGTTTAATGTTAGTCTCTCTGCCTTTTGATTCATCTACACTCTTCCTTATTTCTACAATTATTTTCGGTACAAATTATGCTAGCTTCCATAAAGATTTATAAAACATTTATAATTATAAAAACAATTTTGTCACTTTCTACTATTTCACGCACTCAAACGAAAGTTCATATGAATTGAAGTTTTTTTTTTAATAAAAAATAAAAAATATCTGGGCTGGTTATTCACATGAGCCTATCTACCTTCAATGAGAATTTTCTCACTTTCCCTAGTATTTACCCGTTTGAAATCACTTTTGACGAAAAATCGTGTACCAGTATTGAATAGGAGTATGTTAATTTTATGATTTGTCCGTCTGCAGTGCTTATACTGTTAACTGACTGAAGCTTGGAGATTTCGCTATTTCTTGAAGAGCATTTTCTTGCTATAGTTACTTCAAATAGTCCTCTATTTGGTCATCATGTTTTTTTTTTGGGGGTAATTTTTCACTGTTAACAGTATACTACTTTTTGTTTGCTTCTGGTGTTTTGAATTTAGATGACTGTTCCTATTCACCTAACTGGACACCGATGCACCATGTAATGCAGGGATTAAATCAAAGGCCAAAGAACAAGATTCCTGTTGTTGGAACGGCATCACTGAATCTTGCTGAATTTGCATCAGCAGCTGACCAGAAAAACTTTGATTTAAACATCCCACTCACGCTTCCTGGGGGTTCTGTTGAACCCTGTCCTGTGCTTTGCGTATGTCTCTCACTTTCACGCCCTGATGTCATACAAATTTCATTTAGTCATATTTGCGTATAAGTGGGGGCAAGTAACTGTTACTGTGGTCTTCTGATTCGCAGTGTCTGTATTATTTTTCTACCTCTCATAGCATCTCTTGATCATGCAGGTCTCAGTTAACTTAGTGGAGCTAAGAGCTGCTCAAGAAAGTATGGATCAAGTTCAGAGAAGTATAATTCCTGTTCCGTCTCCATCCCAGTCAGGGGAAACTGCCTTGGGAGAGAAAGATGAGCTTTCTGCAATCAAAGCTGGTCTTAGAAAAGTAAAGATTTTCACAGAGTATGTGTCCGCTCGGAAAGCAAAAAAGGCATGCCATGAGGAAGAGGGCAGTGAAGGCAGATGCTCTGCCAGGAGTGAGGATGGTGAGTGCAATTATTCTTTTGACTCTGACTCACTTGATGATTATGGAGAAGGAGATTCGGATGAGGGAAAGGAAGATAGCAGCATGAGAAAGTCATTCAGTTATGGAAAACTGGCCTATGCTAATGCTGGAGGGACCTTTTACTCCAGCTTGAGGGTAAATGATGATGATGAGGACTGGGTTTACTACAGCAATGGCAAGTCAGATGTGGGGTGCTTGCAGATGGAGGATTTATCAGGGACATCTTCTGAGCCTTCTCTTTTACCAAGTTCAAAACGTAGCATATTGCCCTGGAGGAAGAGAAAGTTGAGTTTCAGATCACCCAAAGCTAAGGGAGAGCCTTTGTTGAAGAAGGCCTATGCAGAAGAAGGTGGTGATGATATAGATTTTGATCGTCGCCAACTTAGTTCTGACGAATCCATCACACCTGGGGTAAGAATCTATCTCATAATGTTTCCCTTCCAACGATTTTGTAGTCTTTATGCTTCTTCAAGAGGTTTGCTACCTGGTAATTTGAAATTTGATGCTCAGATTTTTTTTTTTTTTTAAATTATCGCTTGGTGAATAGTGACTAGAAATCTCACCATTGTGAGCTAGAAGATGGTATAAACCTCTTTGGGAATTTACCTGAGTTTCCCCTCCAAATATTTCCCTCGTTGCCTTAATATTTGGAAAATAATTATTGCTGACCACTTTGGTCTCGACATAAAATACTAAATGCAATGAGTGATGATTGGCAGAATGAACTTTTTGATTCTGCATTGAGCAAGTAAATGAGCTGTATGCCAATCAATTAATTGTTCGTGCATTCTATAAAATAATGGTATAATCCTCAATATTTATTTGACGCTGTTGTTTATCTTATCAGTCCTGATGTTTTGCTACATCTAACAGCTGTACAAGACTGAAGATGACTCGTGTGCAAATCGATCTTCAGTCTCTGAATTTGGGGATGATAATTTTGCCATTGGGACTTGGGAGCAAAAAGAAGTAACAAGTCGTGATGGTCACATGAAGCTTCTGACTCAGGTCTTCTTTGCCTCGATTGATCAGCGCAGTGAACGTGCTGCTGGTGAGAGTGCTTGCACAGCTCTTGTTGCTGTAATTGCTGACTGGTTTCAAAACAATCCTGATCTCATGCCCATAAAGTCCCAGTTTGATAGTCTAATTCGAGAAGGTTCCTTAGAATGGAGAAACTTGTGCGAAAATGAGACCTATAGGGAGCGGTTTCCGGACAAACACTTTGATCTGGAAACAGTCATTCAAGCCAGAATACGCCATCTTTCTGTGATTCCTGGGAAATCATTCATTGGTTTCTTCCATCCAGAAGGAATGGATGAGGATAGATTTGACTTTCTGCATGGTGCCATGTCTTTTGATAACATTTGGGATGAGATTAGTCGTGCAGAGCAGGAGTGCCCTAGCAAGGCTGAACCCCGTGTTTATATTGTGAGTTGGAATGACCATTTTTTCATCCTCAGAGTAGAATCAGATGCTTATTACATCATTGACACTTTAGGGGAGAGGCTTTATGAAGGATGCAATCAGGCGTATATATTAAAATTTGATGACAGCACAGTAATAAAGAAACTGAAAAATGTTTCCCAGTCATCAGATGAGCAAACAACCAGTGATAAACAAACTGCTGCAGTAGCATCAGAGCGCAATAGCAGGCAGGACCAACAAGTCAACACTAAGGAGGTAGATTCCGGTGTGGAAACAGAAGAGCAGTTGAAGGATGAGCAGGAAGAGGAGCTTGTATGCCAAGGGAAGGAAGCTTGCAAAGAGTACATTAAAGCTTCTTGGCTGCAATTCCTATCAGGGAGTTACAAGCTGATGTTAAGAAAGGCTTAATATCATCAACACCGCTTCATCACAGGTTGCAAATTGAGTTCCACTTCACCCAGTTGTTACCATCACATTCTGCAACAACTCCGCTGACCCAAGCATTCATGGCTGCACCTCAGAATCTTGCCCTTTCGGTGACTGAGGTTCTGGCATAAATGTTAATTGATATCAAACCAAGTGCGTCACGGTTGTTTGTCCGGAATTCTTGTTTCCGGTTTTGAAGTGAAATTAACTAAAGGAAAGTCTAACAGTGAGCTAAGTTAATGTTTGTAATTGTTCGTGGGCGCTTGCTTCTTGTTTTTCCCTCTGTCCGTTTCCTTTTTCCCCCTTGAGGAGGATATCATGTAAATGTCTCGTAATTCCCTTTCTAAGTAAGCGCAAACTTTTGGTACCTAACATGTAATTTTGGGAAGGTTCTGCTCATGAATGGTTTATAAAGCTTTTTGCAGACTTTTCATAGCACTCTGATGTAAGGTTTTTATTTCTTATCCGTTGCTTTTCGGAAGATTCTGGATTTTGGTATTATTTAAGAATGTTCTACATGTTATTGGAAAAGCAGTTCTGGCCTCATCGGTTACCTACTTGTCTCTCATCTGCATCGCAACGGGCATGGATGATTTGGTGCCCGTGCAAGTGCTACCGTTATTAACAGGGAGCAAATAGAATGAGATGTTCTCCTGCGTGGTTATCTGGGTTAGATTTTGGGGGAAGAAAGTATGCAATTGGGATTGTAAGTACAAAAATGGATGATTTAAAATCAATGGGAACTAGAGTGAAGTATTGTTGCGAGAAGCATGTTCTTATGTTTTCTCACGGTTTGTTTGTGATGGTTCTGCACATTTTTCACGAAAGACCTCTTCAAAGAATTATACGTGAGTATAACCTTCAAACATGGATTAGTTTTTGAAGTATTCCTCTAGTCCTAAGTATAAGCCCATTTTGTAGTGTAAATTACACTATAAAGTGGATTTTATATTTATGACTGGAGGAGTATGACTTAATCTTTAAATGGTTAGTGTTCTCTTACGTTAGGTAAATAAACTGGATCTAGAAATTAATCTGGAAAATTTTCAAAACGATTGTTATTGTCATTCAATTCTAGAATGCAACAATTCTACTTAGACGTTAAGATGCAAGCCCTCAGAAATGGAGAAAACTAGACGTTATATTCCATTATTAGTGTCCTCTTATGCTACGTAAATTAATTAGACATTGACCCTTTTTTTTTTTTTAATACTGATGGACCCTGCCACAATAGGAAAGAATTTACAATATCAAATCAAACGAGAGGGGATAAAAACCCACAGAAGAAAAAGAATGCTCTATCAATAACTGCGTCTTAATTTCATAGCGTGACAATGATGATATGAAAGCATTTCAGATTTCTGATGCTGCTTCGATCAAGTGTCGCTAGTCCCTACGATTATGGTACCCGCATGGTGGTCAATGGAACCACCTCGGCGAGAGGCGTGGCGAGTGGTGTTGGGACAGGAGATGTTCTACAGAGAGGACACGTTGGATGCATTCTGAGCCATGGATCAATGCACTTAAGGTGGAATATATGACCACAATCCGGCAACTCCCGAAGCATATCCCTGCTTTTATAATCTCCTAGGCATATGGAGCAGCATGTCCCCGTGGAATCTGGCTTTTGTAGCTTGGCCTCAGAATACAGAAGCTTGGGGTAGCTCAGAATGGTGGCTTCGTCTATCCCACATCCACCACCGTGTGATGCGGCTCAAAGAAAGTGGGGAGATTTCTCCGAGCAGCCAAGGGGGAGGGAGAAGACGGTGGTGACTGTGTTCTGGTGCAGAAATAGGAAGTGAGGGTGATGGTGGTGACAAGCACAGAAGAATCCCACTTGATATTCCTATGCCATACCCGAATCCACTGATGTTGTTGGATCCTAGGAATCCAGAGGAATTATCTGTGCCGTTGTTGCTCATCCTGTATTATGATGAAGCAGCAGCAGCAGCAGCAGGTGGAACTG